GAGTCGAATGAGGAAATGATTTGAATCAAGAACTTAAAACCCAAAATTTTCCCATTTGATTCAAGTTAGTGATTCCATCCTAAGAATTATATGATTCAAACATTATCACAAAACTATAGTCAACCATTTGAAATGAAATTTTGTATTCTAATGATTCTTTAGCTTCACTCAAATCTAGCTTAATTATGATTCAAGTTACATAAGCTTATGATGTGAATCATACTAGCAGTGGCAAAACCTGAATTTCACATTCATTTATTCATTCAAATCCTGCATATACTTATTTGAATCACACTTCAAAAAAGTTCTATTTTAAGAAAAATGAAATGTTTGATTAAGTCTGAAGGTTAGTATCACTAGTGCATAAATGACTTTTTACATCGGGTGAAATTGACTTTTTACATCGGTTTTGGGTCCGATGTGAAGTCAGGCGATATAGTAAATCAGGGACTTTTTACATCGGTTCTGGGACTGATGTAAAAAGTCCCTTTTTTACATCGGCTATAATATCAGAACCGATGTAATAACCTGTTATTATGCACATTTTTTTAAAAATTGATCCAGTTTTTTACATCGGTTGGAAGTAATACCCGATGTAAAAAGTCCCAAGTGACGCGACTTTTTACATCGGTTATTATCCCCAACCGATGTAAAAAGTCCTTTTTTGAAAGTTTTTACATCAGTTTTTACTAATAACCGATGTAAAATGTATGAAATTTTTTTGGAATAGATTATTTATTTTCTGGATGTTTCCTTGTACAAATATAATTTGTACCCATTTTTTCATATTTTTCCAATATCACACAGACTATATTTATGTCGCTATATAGATTTCATAGCTTTCCAACATCACATATATCACATCTAGGTCGATGTTTTCATATTTTTTACAACAAACTTACAAATTGAACAATTGAATTGCAAACTTGTATTGTATTACAACAAACAAACTTACAATTACAAATTCTTCACAAAATATACAACAATATTCAACTATTTATAAGTCTTTTTTTAAAACTTAGAATTACATATTATTCACAAAATATACAAAAATATTCAACTATTTATAAGTTTCCAAACTTAAATTACCAATATAAAATCTTCGGTAGACAACACCAAAATCACATTGCCTGACAATAAATAATAACAATTAACATCAGCAAAAAAATCAAGAAACTCAATAAATGTGCAAAAACCATATGTATTGTGCAAAAACCACAACTTATACAATTCTATAAAACTCACCAAGATAAACTTAATTTTCAAGTAACTCAAAGAAACATTTTGCCCAACGAAGTCGCAAATCATACAAATCATCTTGTGTTAATTCTGTTGGGTCATCAAATACCTATAATACATAAATATAACAATATAGAGTTAATTTTTAAAAATTCATATTAAGTCGAAAAATAAAAAGTAAAGTTATTTTTAGTACCTGCATCCAATTCTCGGTTATATTAGCAGAGACAATATCCAACATATTTTTCATCACATAGTATCCACAATCATTAGAGTTATGTTGTTGCCTTGTCTACAATTGAATGACATAATTAGTGAATACTTATCATAAATTTAACTATATAATTACAATTTACATGACACTTACATTGGGATGAAGCCATGTAGCCTTTTTTCTATTTCCATTTGCCATTTGATGAATCCCAAAAGAACTAATACAGAAAGATAAACATCACATAGCTAAATTTACTCGTCGATGAAAAATGACATAACTATTAGTTGTCAATGAAAGTCACATGAAAGATAAACTTACTTTGTAATAATTTTCTTCGTGTGATGGTCAATTTCTCGATGAAGTGAACAAAATACGACAACTAAATTGTCTCTTGGACACATGACTATTAATTGCCAATGTCTCCTGTACGTGTGTGTGGAAACAGAAAAGTCACATAAAATATATATGTTATTAAAATTAAATAATATAAAACACAATTATATATAAATACTTACCCATGAATTAATGGTAGTAAGTGGCACACTCTGTTTTCATCACGTAACTTTTGTAGTACATAATTTTTAACATCTTCTTGAGATTTCGCTACACTATCATTATAAATACACCTAACAGGGTCCATAAATCCATATAATTCTGAAATGGAATTCTCAAGACAAACACGATAAATAAACATTACAATCAAAGTGATGAGCGATATGACATATTAATATAAATTGACTTTAATAAAACAATAAAATGTACTTACGTGCACCAAATTTGCAGAATAGACACGTCAAGCCAATGACCTAAACCCACCAATAACTCTCTGATACATTTAGCTGAAACATAGAAATTAGAGACACTCACACAATGACTTAATTGTATTGCCAAATGGTTATCATCCATTTTCAAAACCATGAGTAACAATCTCTGAACATCATCAACTTCCACATCTTTTGTGCTCTCTTTTGTGCTTCCCTTTGCAGCTGAACAACTTCCTTTTCCGCTTCCATCGATAATTTCCAATTTTTCAATGCATTTATTATCACATGTGCTTTGTGATAAACCCATGGACTTAAGTGTCTCCATTAATGATTGTTGAAACATCTTACGCTCTTCAACCAACTTTTCTTCAAGTTCAGCTCTAAGTTTTTTTTCCAATATTACAAGTTGTTCATTTACGTCGATATGTTGACGTGATCTTCCAAAGTAAGTGCTTTGTTTATGGTGTTTTCCAACACCACGAACACGACCTCCATGCTCAGATGTTCCAATGGCTAATGATAAGATATCTTTACGTCCATCCGGAACAATTGCACCTTTTTCAGCTTCTTGAACTAGAGAATCCTACAAAATGCAAAAACATCAATTAATCAATCACAAATATAATGATACTTGAATATTTTTTCGTTGTTTACTTACAATTTTTTCAGCAACCTCTTGTGTAGATTTTGATGTGTATTCTCCTCCTTTCTTTTGTCGTGCTCTCTTCCATAACTCATGGCGTGATGGTGGAGATGGACTATCATTATCATCTAATGTGGAATTATCTCTCGATGATGACTTTTCTTTCATAATTTTCTCCTCAAGTAAGCGATACCCTCCATGAGACAATACGTGTGGGTATACATTCTTGGCCACATTATCCTTACCCTTCTGACTTTTTTCCTATTATAAACTCAAACAAGTAATTAATCACTAAATATAATAAAAATGTTATGCACACAAAAAAATATAACTCCTACTAACCTTAAATTCAGGGGTATCTCGAATCTTGAGAAACTCTTTCCATGCGTCTTCCGTAATAAAGTTATACTTGACATATGGAGGAGGATCATTTTCTATGGGATGATGAATATATCTATCTGTGAGTTGTGTCTTAAAACCTCTCCATCGCTCTCCCGCATATTTAATCCATTCTTTCTTCAACCTATCCTTCTTTGGATCTTTACATTCTGGAATAGTAAAATGAGCCTATAAATATAGTATATGTCATATGTTGTTAATTAGTATATGATTGTAAAATATAATAAACTATTGTATTTAAAATACCTAAATATCAGTCCAAATAGCATCTTTTACGCCTTCATCTACTTCTTTCCATCGGACACAATATTTTCTTCGCCTTGTAATAACGACTTGGCATTACATTACCTTCTGGAAGCATTTCGGTCAACAATTCAAGCAACTCGGTAAAACTTTTGTCAGTCCACCCATTCTTTGCCTTCAGATTAAATAATTTTAACACGGCTGACAGACGTGTAAATTTTTTGCATCCCGTGTACAATGGTTTATCTTTGTCATTGCATAAAGTATCATACGCATGTGCCCTCTTAAACGAATCTTGTCCAATATCACGCAACATGTCTTCTAGACGATCATCCATTTCTACACTAACATCATCTATTTGAGACACGTTTGACTTTGCTACTACTTCACCGTGCCATATCCATTTTGTATAACTTTGACAAATCCCTACACAAATTAGATGATCCATGATTTCTTTCTTACTATGTTTTGGTTCTTTATTTGCACAACGAACACATGGACAGAGAAAAAGCGTAGAAAGACTTTTGTCAGCATTACTTTCAGCAAACTGTAGAAATTCCATCACTCCATGTTCGTACTCGTCACTTAATCGATTATCTCTCATCCAACTATGATCCATAACTATGTTCACACGGAGGAAGGTCTGACGAACGGTGTGCCCGCGGCTGCGCTACTTCACGGAGATTCTGAGATTGCAAGTTGCGCTGCTTCGCGGAGAAAGCAAAATATAATCAAATTTCAATGGCAAGGTGATAACTCTATTAAGATTTCAAAACTTGAAACTCAAGTCTACAAAACTTTTTATTGAGAAAAAAGGTGCTACTTATCAAGTTGATGGAAATATTGAGGAGTGCAACATACAGCATTCATATGCAATATGTAAGGGTGATTTTGAACTATTTCAAACATCATCAAATTGTCAAGTTATATTTTTAAAATCATTATGTTAAGTTTTGTGATATTTGTAGTTAGAATCAAGGCAGTAGGATTTGGCTGTAAATTATTATTATAATACTAAAAGGACGCAACATATAAATATTGTGATGTTGAAATAATTTATTTTGGTCCTTTCTTTTTTCATTACAGTAGAAACCCGGTTCCCCTATAGGTACAACCCAGAATTCAAAAATAACACGCAGGAACCGGTTCCCCTATAGGTACAACCCGGTTCCTGGTACAAATTCCAGGGAAGTGATTTTTGAACAAGTTTGGAACCCGGTTCCCTGTTAGGTAGGAACCGGTTCCTGAAAGTTTATTTTCAAAAACTCCTTTTGAAACAGATCTCAAACATAGTATTATTTCAAATAAGTGAAGAATGTGACTTACAGTTGAAACGGCGAGCGAGGAAGGGCGTGAATCGGCCGGTGAAAAGTCGTGAACGGCGTGAACAGAGTGAACGACGTGAAACGGCGGCAAGGAGACGTAATCAAATTTCAACAAACTGCATCATCTATGTTCATCAAACAAATCTGCAAATTCACAACAAAAATCATCATCAATGGCGGTCGAAAACGATGAAACACGAACGAACAGAACCACCGCGATCGAAGAGGACGACCGGAAACGGCGGTCGAAGAGGAAGACCGGAAACGGCGGCCGAAACGGCGGTCAAAGAATATTACCGAAAAGGGGCAATCGGAATCGGCCGAAATGGCGGCCGAAAAGTCGCGGTGATGGTGATGAAGACGGTTGGCAATCGGAATCGGGCGGACATGCAGAATCGGAATCGGAAGCGAGGTTGAGGAGGCACGGCGCGATGGAGTGGTGGAAGAATAACGATGGAGTTGTAATTTTTCTACTGTTTGGGAAATAAGGGTTTGGCACCTATTACATCGGTGCATTGTAATAACCGATGTAAGGGTTGGATGGCTATTACATCGGTGCATTGTAATACCCGATGTAAGGGTTAGCAAGCTTTTTTTTTTTTACAATGCACCTATTACATCGGTGCATTGTAATACCCGATGTAAGGGTTGGCAAGCTTTTTTTCTGACTTTTTTTTTACAATGCACCTATTACATCGGTGCATTGTAATACCCGATGTAATAAGTTGCAAAAAAATTAATTTATTCTTTAATTTATTTTTTATATTAATATCTGTTGTGAAGATATTACATCGGTTTTTAGTCAACCGATGTAATATGTTGCATGTTTTTATTAATATTTCTACTACCTTGTTTCTTATTTACAAAAATGCCACCGTATTTTTTTCTGAAAACTTTTTACATCGGTGGATGCGTTTGCCCGATGTAATAGGTAGCGAAATATATTTTTTTCATATTTTTTATATCATTGCAAATAAATACCTGATGTAAAAAGTTTGTTAATTGTATTTTTTACATCATATATTTTGATACCCGATGTAAAAACCTTTTCTCAAATGTCTTTTTTTTAGTAGTGTATGATAGGAATAATGCATTGATGTTTCTTAACCCTTATAATAGATCAATTTGACTTGAACCACTTTACAACGACTATTATCTCCGGGTTCAATTTAAAGCCTGCAAAACACAATTTAATGCAATACAAAATTTAATGAATTATTCATTATTCTAATATATGCATAAAACCTAACTTCCAGGAGACTTAACAACCAAAAGCAATAAACAATAAAATAGTAAATGAAGCAAACAAATTAGTGAGTTACGTTGAACATAAGAAGAATCATATTCTAGATATGAATTGCTTAGTAGGTGAATTAAGTTTCTAGTTTGTCTATGATTATATGTTCTAACTAAAAGACACTTGTAATTTTCAAAATTAGTGAAAAACTAATGAATGTTCTTTGGAGAGTATTTATACTAGTGGAGAGTCCCAAAGTCCATTGAGACATAAGAGTTGAAGTTGAAAAACTTAGATATGCCAAATAAAAAAACCTGGAATTTCAGCTTCAACAACTAAAAATGTCATAAAATGTGTTAAAAAGCGTCGAAGGACTTAACAAATCAAAAACAAAACTTTAAATTCAACCAAGAGTTATACTCTGAGCAAAATATAACAAATTAAATAAGAGTTATAATGATAAATGATAAAATATTTATTAATAATAAGAATCATAAGGAGTTAATTAACTAAGTACGACTATAAAGTTTTCCTAATATTAATTAAGTGCCAAAAGTTTCAAGTTATCTCGAACTTATAAAAGAACTATCAGTGGTCATCTTCCCTGAAGTTTAAAACTGAGTTATAGTGAAAAAACTAAATACTAGAATGTATATTTTCTGCGTACGAGCCTTAAATAGTCAGAAATTCCAATTATCAAACTATAATATAGGAACTTAGATAGTTAAACTAGATTTAAAAACCTAAACATAATGTAAAATATATATGAGTTTGAGAGAGAGAGTGAGAAAGAGATTACAAACCTATAAAAAGAGGAAGATGATGGTGTTTTAAATGAGAACGGTGAAGGAATATGGAAGATGACATATATGATTATGCTCAACGATGCTAAAATTCATTTTATGAGATTGTATTTGTGAGAAATAATGGTTTGAGATAAGTGTATAGTTTTATAATTAAAAATAAAAGAGTTTTTTTATTAAAAACAATCTTATTTTTTTACAAAAGACTTCTTAAAAGAATCACGTGTAAGATAAGACAACATTTTTTTCAAAAACGATGTAGAACTTCGCAACTTTCTTAAAAACATCTCTTGAAGAAAAATAAGAGAGTTTTTTTTTTATAAAAATTTGTCTATTATTACTTTATTGGGCCCGATAAGAAGCAGTCCAGAGGGCCTAGAAAGAATCGATATGTCATCATCACTACTAAAAACAAGACATTTGAGAAAAAGTTTTTACATCGGGTATCAAAATATATGATGTAAAAAATACAATTAACAAATTTTTTACATCAGGTATTTATTTGCAATGATATAATAAAAATATGAAAAAAAATATATTTCGCTACCTATTACATCGGGCAAACGCATCCACCGATGTAAAAAGTTTTCAGAAAAAAATACGGTGGCATTTTTGTAAATAAGAAACAAGGTAGTAGAAATATTAATAAAAAACATGCAACATATTACATCGGTTGACTAAAAACCGATGTAATATCTTCACAACAGATATTAATATAAAAAATAAATTAAAGAATAAATTAATTTTTTTGCAACTTATTACATCGGGTATTACAATGCACCGATGTAATAGGTGCATTGTAAAAAAAAAGTCAGAAAAAAAGCTTGCCAACCCTTACATCGGGTATTACAATGCACCGATGTAATAGGTGCATTGTAAAAAAAAAAAAAGCTTGCCAACCCTTACATCGGGTATTACAATGCACCGATGTAATAGCCATCCAACCCTAACAGGGAAAATAAACTTTCAGGAACCGGTTCCTACCTAACAGGGAACCGGGTTCCAAACTTGTTCAAAAATCACTTCCTTGGAATTTGTACCAGGAACCGGGTTGTACCTATAGGGGAACCGGTTCCTGCGTGTTATTTTTGAATTCTGGGTTATAAAAAAAAAAAAAAGCTTGTCAACCCTTACATCGGGTATTACAATGCACCGATGTAATAGCCATCCAACCCTTACATCGGGTATTACAATGCACCGATGTAATAGGTGTCAAACCCTTATTTCCCAAACATTTCCCAAACAGTAGAAAAATTACAACTCCATTTTCCCCTGTTCGTGTTTCCGATTCTGGTCGCTTCCGATTCCGATTCCGTCTTCCTCAACCCCGCCCGATTCCGATTGCCACCGCGACTGCCTTATGCCCGCCCGATTTCGATTCGGTAATATTCTTTGACCGCCGTTTCGGCCGCCGTTTCCGGTCTTCCTCTTCGACCTCCGTTTCCGGTCGTCCTCTTCGACTGCGGTGGTTTTCGTTCGTGTTTCCGCCGTTTCTGGTCGTCGTCTTCGACCGCGGTGGTTATGTTCGTTCGTGTTTCATCGTTTTCGACTGCCATTGATGGTGATTTTTGTTGTGAATTTGCAGATTTGTTTGATGAACATAGATGATTTTGCAGATTTTTGCGGTGGTTCTATTTAGTTAGTTATAACCAACAATATTTTTCACTTTGGACTTGGTATTGTTTTTGTGATAGAATTATTCTATTTCAATATAGATACAAGTCTTTGGATCTATCTGATGATATCGTAGAAGATGATGAAGAGGAGTTCATTAAAGGCTTCTCTCAGAGTCTCACACTTAATATACAGGTTTGGTCTGATATTTTTCTTGGTCTCATTAGTTGTAGGTATTGCACTATTCTCTATCTGGTCAGCCTTCTTCAGCTTCTTTAGTGTTTTTCAAACATGTATTCAAACATGTATGTTCAAATCTAAAACTCTTCAAATATAGCATTTTGTTACAATACAGACTTAGAAGTGACTGGGTTAAAGCATAAGAAAGTGACTGGGCTAAAGCATAAAGAATATAGGAAATTTAAAAGTGACTGGACTTAATATTGAAGGTTGGCTTACATATGATGTGTTAGTAATGCATTACGTTTGACCTTTATTACATGAAATAATATTTGACATTTGCTTGCAGATTGAGTTGGAAAAATATAGAGATAATGATTCGGCTGTCTTTGAAGCAATGAGTTAAGAAATACTTCTCTTTTGCAATGTAATTGGTGTTGAATAAGTTTTATAGATTCGGGATGTAGGTTGCTGATATGTTCCATCTTTTGTTCAGATATAAGATTGAACAAGAACCTGGCATTGAAATAAATCAAATTCCGCCACACATGATTAAATATGGTGAGAGTTACAGGAGATGAGAAATGTTATATACAAAGGGTTAACTTATGAACTTTTGTACTTTTTGTGCCTTATATGAGTAGGTGCATGATTTGCATTTCAACTCTCATGATTCAAATAATCATTATGTAATTTAATTTTCATCTTTTACTTGGTCTTATTTATTTCGGGTTTATGCAATTGGGATGGCAGGTCACAGAAGTGAGCCCAAAGGTGAGACTGGTGGTTAGAATGAAGGAAGTAATTGCGATATAGCAGTAGCAATTGCGATACGAAAATTTGATTAATGATAAAGTCTCAAATGAAAGCCAAGATGCTGCAGAAGGTGAACATACTACTCTTATTGTGTATCTTTTTTGTTAAGTTTTTTCATTTTCATTAGTAGCAATTCTAATATAATATTCATTTCAACTTGAGTCACATTGTGAAATCAATTACATGTTTTTAGAAACAATAATATGGAGGACATAGTGTGATGGACCTAGTAGTGAGTTGTGATAAAGGTGATGGATTTATATCCGGAAAATCTGTACTGGTTCGCTGGGAACCGGTTCCGACCCAGGAAGAACCCGGTTCCTAGTGAAAGTTATAACCCAGAATTCAAAAATAACACGCAGGAACCGGTTCCCCTATAGGTACAACCCGGTTCCTGGTACAAATTCCAGGGAAGTGATTTTTGAACAAGTTTGGAACCCGGTTCCCTGTTAGGTAGGAACCGGTTCCTGAAAGTTTATTTTCAAAAATGTGCATAATAATTGTTTATTACATCGGTTCATATATTATAACCGATGTAAAAAAGGGACTTTTTACATCGGGTATTACTTCCAACCGATGTAAAAAACTGGATCAATTTTTTAAAAAATGTGCATAATAACAGGTTATTACATCGGTTCTGATATTATAACCGATGTAAAAAAGGGACTTTTTACATCGGTCCCAGAACCGATGTAAAAAGTCCCTGATTTACTATATCGCCTGACTTTACATTGGACCCAGAACCGATGTAAAAAGTCAATTTCACCCGATGTAAAAAGTCATTTCTGCACTAGTGCACCCTGATTCCCTCAGTTGTGGTCTGGGCTCCCGACCGAGT